CTAAGTCAGAGGTCGCAACCGGGTACCCGATACCCGTACCCTACCCGATACCCGGCTACCCGTACCCGGCCGGGTACGGGTACCCGTTTGCGACCCTGGTGCGGCCGGGTACGGGTAGACCGTGAGTCACTGGTGAGTAACCGTTTGTCACTTATTTCCCAACGTCTTGTCTCTTCTCACAATTCAAGTTCCTAGAATCAACCCACCCGAGCCTGCAACATGGCTTCATCCCAGAGGTCGCAATCGGTCTACCCGTACCCGGCCGCACCAGGGTCGGTATCGGGTAGGGTACGGGTACCGGATTGCGACCCTGGTGCGGCCGGGTACGGGTAAGGAATCAAAACCCGTTTGCGACCTCTGCTGCTGCTGCTGCTTCCGATGGAAACTACCGCTCGTGCAAGGCACGGCAGTCGCATGCACGCTGCACTCTTCTCCTCTCTACGATTGCGACTTTTTGTTTCACCCGATCATCCGACCGGGGGTGTTGGTGCTTGTGCAGCTGTTCGGGTACGTACCTTTGTGCGTCGCTCGGCACCATGTCCGACGTTTCGCGCCCCTCCCCCCCACACCAACGTGCTGGCTTGGCTTGGTGCAGCTCCTCCTTTGCGTCAGCCACGAGAGCACCTCCCAGACACGTGGTGGCACGAAACGTCTGTCATCGTGCCCGAACACAGCAGATATAGCAGAGCTGACAAATAATCCCCCGTATAGCCTCTAACAGACTGTTGGGGCAAGTGCTGTTAGCGAGTAGCTATGAAGGCCGGCACGGCACACACGAGGGGGTGGGTGGTCAGCACCACGCCCGGCCGGCCGCCTTTGTCTCCCCATTGCTGATGCTCAAACACCCCACGCAGAGTACTCGATTTAAGGCCGAGTCGACCTAGGGGAGGCGCACGACCGGTTAAAGTATTTCGCTGCCACGTCTGGCTGCGTGCGGGAATCGAACTCGGCTCGCCGCCGGATTCGCAGCGCCCGGTGCGGCGCTAACCACTGCGCCACCGCTCCCCTCATATTATCGTCGCACAACCCTTGCGAGCGCATCGATCACCGCGACTGTTTAACCCCCGAGAGCCGTGGATCCAGATTAAGAACCGCTGCCCTTGAGGAACACATTAATTGGTGGCGGCCAGTGACAATCGGCGACCGCGTGGGTGGGTGCATGCTGGTGATGGTGGTAACCGGGCCGGTTGGGCCGGGCAGGTTGGTTCATGGGGGGGGGGGGGGGGTAATTTTTTTTTATATCGGTTCAAATGAACGACGCGTGGACGGATTGTGTGAACAACAACAACAGACAAACAATAAAATATCAACAATAACAACATTCATGGCACTCGGGGTGAGCTCGTTTCGTCGTACCTGTGTAAGCGAACTGTGGTGTTGGTGGTGATGATGCCGCTGCTGCTGCGTTGGCAGTGGTGCACAAACAACAACAACCAACAACAAACAACACGTTCCGTGTCAGACTCTCTTGAACCTAGAGCTGGCGAAATGCCAAATGTTTAGACGCAACGACCGGTTTCGACTTTCAATATCTCATCAGCAGTCAGGCTCGCCTGAGCCAATGCTGCCAAAACTGCCAGATTTTGTAGGCAAAGACCGGTTTCGACATTCAGTGACTCATCAGCAAAGTCAGACTCGCTTGAACCAGGGCTGGCAAACTCGCACGTGTTTAGACAAAGGACCCTCTCTGTTCGACATGAGTCTTAAGTCCATCTCTGTGATGCCGGCAGTAACTAACACGAACATGAAAATGTAACCGCTCAAAATGACTTTTTTACACATCCAGACGTCAGAGACTTAACGAGTTAATTTACGAGGTGAACTTTATCCTCTATGGGAGACGAGGCTTCACTCCGTTCACTAATCGACAAACTGCTTCGCGACGCGTCCCTCCGTGCTACGCGGACTGCCCACCTGGTGAGTCTCGTGTCACGAGAATCCATTCGGAAATCTCGCAAGTGAGCAGTGCAACCCCTCCGTGCGAGAGGATGGCCCGCGGAAATGGATATCACAGAGTTACCGCTGAGATCCTCTTCTTCAAGTGGCACTCCGGTCCACACACAGAACGGCACACGGAAATGGATATCACAGAGTTACCGCTGAGATCACCTTCTTCAAGTGACACTCTGGTCCACACACAGAACGGCACACGGAAGTGGATATCACAGAGTTACCGCTGAGATCGCCTTCTTCAAGTGACACTCTGGTCCACACACAGAACGGCCCGCGGATTTGGATATCACAGAGTTACTGCTGAGATCGCCTTCTTCAAGTGACACTCTGGTCCACACACAGAACGGCCCGCGGAATTGGATATCACAGAGTTACTGCTGAGATCGCCTTCTTCAAGTGACACTCTGGTCCACACACAGAACGGCACACGGAAGTGGATATCATAGAGTTACCGCTGATATCCTCTTCTTCAAGTGGCACTCTGGTCCACACACAGAACGGCACACGGAAGTGGATATCACAGAGATACCGCTGAGATCCTCTTCTTCAAGTGACACTCTGGTCCACACACAGAACGGCACACGGAAGTGGATTTCACAGAGTTACTGCTGAGATCGCCTTCTTCTTCAAGTGACACTCTGGTCCACAAAACGGCCCACGGAAGTGTATATCACAGAGTTACTGCTGAGACCTTCTTCTTCAAGTGACACACTGGTCCACACACAGAACGGCCCGCAGAAGTGGATGTCAGAGTTACTGCTGAGATCGCCTTCTTCAAGTGACACTCTGGTCCACACACAGAACGGCACGCGGAAGTGGATATCACAGAGTTACCGCTGAGATCGCCTTCTTCAAGTGACACTCTGGTCCACACACAGAACGGCACGCGGAAGTGGATATCACAGAGTTACCGCTGAGATCGCCTTCTTCAAGTGACACTCTGGTCCACACACAGAACGGCCCGCGGATTTGGATATCACAGAGTTACTGCGGAGATCGCCTTCTTCAAGTGACACTCTGGTCCACACACAGAACGGCCCGCGGAATTGGATATCACAGAGTTACTGCTGAGATCGCCTTCTTCAAGTGACACTCTGGTCCACACACAGAACGGCACACGGAAGTGGATATCATAGAGTTACCGCTGAGATCCCCTTCTTCAAGTGGCACTCTGGTCCACACACAGAACGGCACACGGAAGTGGATATCACAGAGTTACTGCTGAGATCGCCTTCTTCAAGTGACACTCTGGTCCACACACAGAACGGCCCGCGGATTTGGATATCACAGAGTTACTGCTGAGATCGCCTTCTTCAAGTGACACTGGTCCACACACAGAACGGCCCGCGGAATTGGATATCACAGAGTTACTGCTGAGATCGCCTTCTTCAAGTGACACTCTGGTCCACACACAGAACGGCACACGGAAGTGGATATCATAGAGTTACCGCTGATATCCTCTTCTTCAAGTGGCACTCTGGTCCACACACAGAACGGCACACGGAAGTGGATATCACAGAGTTACTGCTGAGATCGCCTTCTTCAAGTGACACTCTGGTCCACACACAGAACGGCACACGGAAGTGGATATCACAGAGTTACTGCTGAGACCTTCTTCCTCAAGTGACACACTGGTCCACACACAGAACGGCCCGCAGAAGTGGATGTCAGAGTTACTGCTGAGATCGCCTTCTTCAAGTGACACTCTGGTCCACACACAGAACGGCACGCGGAAGTGGATATCACAGAGTTACCGCTGAGATCGCCTTCTTCAAGTGACACTCTGGTCCACACACAGAACGGCACGCGGAAGTGGATATCACAGAGTTACCGCTGAGATCCCCTTCTTCCAGTGACACTCTGGTCCACACACAGAACGGCACACGGAAGTGGATATCACAGAGTTACCGCTGAGATCCCCTTCTTCAAGTGACACTCTGGTCCACACACAGAACGGCACACGGAAGTGGATATCACAGAGTTACCGCTGAGACCGTCTTCTTCAAGTGACACTTTGGTCCACACACAGAACGACACACGGAAGCGGATATCACAGAGTTACCGCTGAGACCTCCTTCTTCAAGTGACACTCTGGTCCACACACAGAACAGCACACGGAAGTGGATATCACAGAGTTACCGCTGAGATCCCCTTCTTCCAGTGACACTCTGGTCCACACACAGAACGGCACACGGAAGTGGATATCACAGAGTTACCGCTGAGATCCCCTTCTTCAAGTGACACTCTGGTCCACACACAGAACGGCACACGGAAGCGGATATCACAGAGTTACCGCTGAGACCTCCTTCTTCAAGTGACACTCTGGTCCACACACAGAACGGCACACGGAAGTGGATATCACAGAGTTACCGCTGAGATCCCCTTCTTCAAGTGGCACCCTGGTCCACACACAGAACGGCACACGGAAGTGGATATCACAGAGTTACCGCTGAGATCCCCTTCTTCAAGTGACACTCTGGTCCACACACAGAACGGCACACGGAAGTGGATATCACAGAGTTACCGCTGAGATCCTCTTCTTCCAGTGACACTCTGGTCCACACACAGAACGGCACACGGAAGTGGATATCACAGAGTTACCGCTGAGATCCCCTTCTTGAAGTGACACTCTGGTCCACACACAGAACGGCACGCGGAGGTGGATATCACAGAGTTACCGCTGAGATCCTCTTCTTCAAGTGGCACTCTGGTCCACACACAGAACGGCACGCGGAAGTGGATATCACAGAGTTACCGCTGAGATCCCCTTCTTGAAGTGACACTCTGGTCCACACACAGAACGGCACACGGAAGTGGATATCACAGAGTTACCGCTGAGATCCCCTTCTTGAAGTGACACTCTGGTCCACACACAGAACGGCACACGGAAGTGGATATCACAGAGTTACCGCTGAGATCCCCTTCTTGAAGTGACACTCTGGTCCACACACAGAACGGCACGCGGAGGTGGATATCACAGAGTTACCGCTGAGATCCTCTTCTTCAAGTGGCACTCTGGTCCACACACAGATCGGCACGCGGAAGTGGATATCACATAACTACCGCTGAGACCGCCTTCTTCAAGTGACACTCTGGTCCACACACAGAACGGCACACGGAAGCGACCAAAGTTATACATAAATAATGGCAGAACTCCACGACTCCAGGAAGTGGGCCCGCAGCTTGCCACAGCGTAAGGGGCCGTGGTGATTTACAGCCAATGTGAGTTGAGCGTGGACAATTAGACCCGTAAAAATGATTGTTTAAAAAAATAATGATAGAATATAGTATTGTCATCAGTGTGACATACCTATACCAAGTTTGCAGTCGATACGACATTGGGAAGACGGGTGAAATTGAGTTACAAGATTTGAGGATACGACAACACACAGAGTAAGTGAAATAAAAGCGTGTAAAATGTAAAAATATATATGTTTTGGATTTTTTATGATAGAATATAGTCTTGTCATCAGTATGACAAAGGTATTTAAAGTTTGCAGTCGATAGCACATTGGGAAGTGGGTAAAAATTGAGTTATAATATTTTTTGAGGATACGACAACAGACAGAGCGAGTAAAATAAAAGCGTGTAAAATAGTTTTTGTTGGGTCAGATCGCGTAAATATGTGTCGTTAAACCCGCCACCACCCGACACAGCCAATTAGAAAAAGGTTTGTCACCTAAACAGTACGTGCCAATTAGTTACTAGTTCGGCACAAAGGTTGTGTTGGAGAGTAAACCCACAACATTTACAATTCTAGTAATTAGTAATTACAACCAGGAGTTGTGGAGGAATCCTTCAGCTTCGTTCTGACGCAGACGGGGGATTAAGGCGATGACGCAGAAGTGGACATGACAGAGCTACATCCGAGATCCCCTTATTCAATTAGGGGCCGTCCATAAATGACGTCACGCGATTTTGGACAAGTTTTGACCCCAAATGTCTGACCCCCCCCCCCCAGGTGCGTGACGTCATTTATGGACAGGGGGTAGCACTTTGAGACAGGTTACGTTAACCAATTACCTACTTTTACCAATAATCAACTAAGGAACGTATCCATACAGCACTGTGCTGATAAAATTTTCCTCGATTCATAGTTAGCACTCGATCCATAGTTAGCACTCGATCCAACAATCGATTATTTTACCATAGCAACGCATGTGGAATCGTCTGGCGGTTTACACTACGAATCAAGAAAATCGATTACAATCATCCGACTCCCCGCACACGAATCAAAAGCGAGGATCTGTACACGAGGAATCGATTTGCGATTCTCAGCTCGATTCATTGCGCTGACAATCTTCCGTGGGGGACGCGCGATGCGATCCGTAGACCGTAACATCGATTCACATTTATCGATTCCGATTCCGTTCAACTCGGTGCTCTATGCAGAATCGTGAGTTCGATTTAATTGGTCGAGCCGATTTCGATTCTGACAGTCGCCGCACACGTGGGTACACAAGCGACATCGCGTCTCCTCCCGTGTCCCCGTGAGTCCCCCGTGTCCCCGACTTGTCTCCGGAGTCCCACGGTGTCTCCCCGTCGTGTCCTTCTGTGTCTCCGTCTCTACCCCCACCCCCCCGTGTCTTTACGGCAACGTACGGTGTAAAAGAAGTTCGACATTCGTACGTGACCCCTGCGTTTCTGTGTTTCCAGTGTCCACGTGTCTCCCTCCGTGTCTGTGGTGACCCCCCCCGTGACCCCCCACTGTGACCCCCTCCCCCCTGTGCCCCACACCCCCCCCCCCGGCCATGTCGTTCCGCTGGGGGCTCGTGAACGGCGCGGGCTTCTCGCTCTCTGGCCTGGCGCTGCTCGAGTTGTGGCTGCGGCGTCGCAAGCAGCAGCAGGGGGCGGACACGACTCGTGAGTGGGGGGGGGGGAGTAGGGGGGGTCAACAGGGGGGGGGGTCAACGGAAGGGGGGGTGTGAACGGAGGGAGAGGGGCTGAACGGGGGGGGGGGGTTGAACGGAGGGGGGGGTGAACGGAGGGGGGGGGAGGGTGAACGGAGTAAGGGGGGGGTGAACAGAGGGGGGGTGGAGGGGGGGTGAACGGAGGGGGGGGGGGGTGTGTGAACGGAGGGGGGGGGGTCAACGGAGGGGGGGGATCAACGGAGGGAGGGGGGGTGTGAACGGAGGGGGGGTCAACAGAGGGGTCAACAGAGGGGTCAACGGGGGGGGTGTGAACGGAGGGGGGGTCAACGGAGGGGGGGGTCAACGGAGGGGGGGTCAACGGAGGGGGGTGTGAACGGGGGGGGGGGTCAACAGAGGGGTCAACGGAGGGGAGGGGGTCAAAGGAGGGAGGGGGGGTCAACAGAGGAGGGGGTGTGACCGGAGGGGGGGTCAACGGAGGGGGGGTCAACGGAGGGGGGGGTCAACGGAGGGGGGGGTCAACGGAGGGGGGGGTCAACGGAGGGAGGGGGGTGTGTGACCGGAGGGGGGGGGGTCAACAGAGGGGTCAACGGAGGGGGGGGTCAACGGAGGGGGGGGTCAACGGAGGGGGGGTCAACGGAGGGAGGGGGGGTGTGACCGGAGGGGGGGGGTCAACAGAGGGGTCAACGGAGGGGGGGGGGGGTGTGAACGGAGGGGGGGGGTCAACAGAGGGGTCAACGGAGGGGGGGGGGGGGGGACGGAGAGGGAACGCCAAGTAACTCGATTGACGACAAAAAGAAACCCGTACCAATGAACTCGCGTGTCAGCTCGTCGTTACCAACACGTGGGTTGGAAACCCGCGCGTACAGATGTGGATAGACGATGGCAATGAACCCACTTGCTGTACTGCCATCATACCACGGCAACAATCGAGGTGTTTGGGTGAGATCGCGTAAGCCAGATTCGCCCGATGATGCTGGATGTAATTACCGGCGAAACGTCGGACTCAAGATTGTAAATGTTGTGGATTCACTTGGCGTTTTGTTTACGTGACAAATCCCCTCACCGGTTGGCCGTGTCGGGTGGTGGCGGCTCTAACGACACATTTGTACTCGCGCCATCTCACCCAACAACCTCTATGATCTTGTTGGTTCTTTCGGTAAAGTCACGTAGAAGGGAAATAATAAAATAATAAAATTAAAACATAATAAAATACAATTCTCACGACGTTTCGGCCACAACGCAAGCAGCCGTCCTCAGGTGAAGAACAGGTCTTTCGGAAAGGCAGCGTCTGAATGAACACCACCGTTGCGTTGTGGCCGAAACGTCGTGAGAATTATTTTATTATGTTTTATTTTTATAATTTTAGTATTTCCCTTCTGCGTGACTTTACCGAAAGAACCAAGAAGATGAATCCCTGCAGTCACGAAAGCTTTAAATCGAAACCTCTATGAAGAACAACATTGGTCGCGAAAGCCTTCGTGTGAAACATACCACGGTCAAGGCGGGTAGTGGACGACCTCCACGACCGGCATATCCCGTGTCCCCGTACCCCCTTACCCACACGTAGTGCCCCCCCCCCCCCCCCCCGTGTGTGAGCAGATCCCCCCCCCGAGGGGGGAGGGTCCCCGCTGGAGCGCTGGGGGCTGCCGGACCGCGGCGCGAGCCCCCGCGTCTACGCGCACCACGCACTCTCGTACGACCGGGCGCGGCGCGGCCCGGCCTGGGTGGCCGAGCACCTCACTCTGGCCTGCTTCAGCGGTGCGCACGCCAACCCCACTCACTCACCTGGCGGCTCACCTGCTCACTCACCTGGCAGCTAACCTGTTCACTCACCTGGCTGTTCACCTGCTCACTCACCTGGCGGCTCACCTGTTCACTCACCTGACAGCTCACCTGTTCACTCACCTGGCTGTTCACCTGCTCACTCACCTGGCGGCTCACCTGTTCACTCACCTGGCAGTTCACTTGGCAGCTCACCTATTAGCTCACCTGTTCACTCACCTGTTCACTCACCTATTAGCTCACCTGGCAGCCCATCTGTTCACTCACCTGGCGGCTCACTTGTTTATTCACCTGTTCACTCACCTGGCAGCTCACCTGGCAGCTCACCTGTTCACTCACCTGGCAGCTCACCTATTATCTCACCTGGCAGCCCATCTGGCGACTCGCTCACCTCACAGCTCACCTGCTTGGCTATTCACCGAGCAACTCACCTGGCTCTTCGCTCACCCCCCCCCCACCCCCTTCCCCCACTCCCCCCCCACCACCACCACCCCCCTCCCCCCCACACACATACACAGGCGACGCCAACCGCAAGCACTGCCACTTCCACCCCGACCCGGGCATCGAGCCCCGGTTCTCCGCCTCGGACTCGGACTTCCGGGACAGCGGGTGGTCGCGCGGCCACATGGCCCCGGCCGAGGACAACAAGTTCAGCCAGGTGGGCAGTCCACCTCGCGATGTTCCAAGTTCAGGGGTCAACACTCGGTGACTCGTGAGAACGAGGAGCGTTCTGCACGCAGAGGGCAGGAGGAGATGCGGAGGAGTTGGCATCGCTGGGAGCCGAGGTTCCACTCCGGGTTTCAACTCCAACCGCAGCGATTGTTAGACCCGTAGACTCGCGCAGAGACCCGTAGACTCGCACAGAGACCCGTAGACTCGCACAGAGACCCGTAGACTCGCACAGAGACCCGTAGACTCGCACAGAGACCCGTAGACTCGCACAGAGACCCATAGACTCGCACAGAGACCCGTAGACTCGCACAGAGACCCGTAGACTCGCACAGAGACCCGTAGACTCGCACAGAGACCCATAGACTCGCACAGAGACCCGTAGACTCGCACAGAGACCCGTAGACTCGCACAGAGACCCATAGACTCGCACAGAGACCCGTAGACTCGCACAGAGACCCGTAGACTCGCACAGAGACCCGTAGACTCGCACAGAGACCCATAGACTCGCACAGAGACCCATAGACTCGCACAGAGACCCGTAGACTCGCACAGAGACCCGTAGACTCGCACAGAGACCCGTAGACTCGCACAGAGACCCGTAGACTCGCACAGAGACCCATAGACTCGCACAGAGACTCGCACAGAGACCGAGAGAGACTCACACAGAGACCGAGAGAGACTCACACAGAGACCCAGAGAATCACAGAGACACAGACTCACACAGAGACCCAGAGACTCACACAGAGACCCAGAGACTCGCACAGAGACCCAGAGACTGCACAGAGACCCGTAGACTCGCACAGAGACCCGTAGACTCGCACAGAGACCCATAGACTCGCACAGAGACTCACACAGAGACCGAGAGAGACTCACACAGAGACCCAGAGACTCGCACAGAGACCCAGAGACTCGCACAGAGACCCAGAGAATCACAGAGACACAGACTCACACAGAGACCCAGAGACTCACACAGAGACCCAGAGACTCGCACAGAGACCCAGAGAATCACAGAGACACAGACTCACACAGAGACCCAGAGACTCACACAGAGACTCGCACAGAGACCCAGAGACTCGCACAGAGACCCGTAGACTCGCACAGAGACCCGTAGACTCGCACAGAGACCCGTAGACTCGCACAGAGACCCATAGACTCGCACAGAGACTCACACAGAGACCGAGAGAGACTCACACAGAGACCGAGAGAGACTCACACAGAGACCCAGAGACTCACACAGAGACCCAGAGACTCACACAGAGACCTAGAGACTCACACAGAGACAGAGAGACTCACACAGAGACCCATAGACTCACAGAAACCCAGGGACTCAGACACCCATAGACTCATACAGAGATGCACAGACTCATGCAGAGACTCACACAGAGACCCAGAGACTCACACAGAGACCCATAGACTCACACAGAGACCCAGATACTCACAGAAACCCAGGGACTCAGAGACCCATAGACTCACACAGAGATGCACAGACTCATGCAGAGACTCACACAGAGACCCAGAGACTCACACAAAGACCCATAGACTCACACCGACTGAATCGTGATTCAACCGGGTTCTCAAGCAGGAGGGTGATTGAGTTCCATAGTTCAGCAGCGGGGTGAGCGGAGCAGCAGCAGCAGCAGGAGGAGGGTGGGCAGTGAGGATGTGTGTCGTGCCCTGAGCAGTAACTCACCACTGGCACCGTGACCCACAGGAGGCCATGAATCAGACGTTCTACTTCTCCAACATCGTGCCCCAGGATATCTCCAACAACGAGGGCATCTGGCGAAGGTAGCGCCCCGAAAACCGCGCACACGCACCCACGCACACCTACACACCTACACATCTGCACGCCTCCACGCCTACACATCTGCACGCGTGCGCACGTGCAGTGTACATTGAGGCGTTGGTGCTTATCTCCTGTTCACAGCCCCTGGAAATTCCACATTCTGATGGTAGGAGCGATGGTGGTCGTGTGAAAAGCGCCATTGACTTGGCCACAAAAGTTTGTTTTCTCTCCTATTTTAGCGACCCCAGGAGAAGGAATGTTGATGATGGGCCGAGTCAACCTGCCTCCACCCTCCCGAACAACCTTCAGGATGTGACTTTGCGACGTTTGCGATTGCTCGGAGCCGCTCGCTCTCTCGCCGAGCCACCCCGGGCAGATCGAGGACACATCGACACGTGTGCACCGGTGTGGTCCACGTGACCTGCGCAGCCACTAGGGGCCGCTACACACTCAGCCGCATGTGCATGGGGAGCGGTCAGGTAAAGCGGTTAGCGCTACGCCGCGCTGCGAACCTGGCGGCCCGAGTTCGATTCCCGCCCACGGCCAGCACCAGTGACGATTATCTTAACCCCGGTCCTGGGCCTCCTCTAGGTCGACTCGGCCTCAAAATGGGTACCTGGTGCGGTGTGTAAAAATCGCCACTGGGGAGGCCAAGGCGGTCGGGCGTGGCGATGGCCACCCACCCCCTCGTGTGCCGTGCCTGCCGTCATAACTGCTCGCTTACAGCACTTGCCCCAAAAGTCTGTCAAGGCTACACGGGGGATCTTTGCCTTCGCGCAGCCTGGAGTCGCTGTGTGAGCAGCTGACGGCGCTCTACGCCGACGTGTGGGTGGTGACGGGGCCTCTCGCGCTGGCCCAAGACAGTGGCGCTGGCAGCGGTGGCGGGCAGAGCAAGAGACTTGTCAGCTACGAGGTGAGTGGAGGGCAAGGGTCACTCACGCAGGGCATGGCTGGGAATCGGGCTTCGGGGGGAATCATTTGTGAAGACGGTTGCCGAGCACAGGGGCCGAAACGTCACCCGGCCGGCCAGAAGCGAACAGCAGCGAACAGCAGCGAACAACAGCGAACAACAGCGAACAGCAGCGAACAGCACTGTCGTCGCAGTTGCAACGGATAGAGAGTTACGAACGCGTTTCGTGTATTGAGCGAGGACATTCGTGTTGCGAGAGATTCCGAATTGGAGGAGTGCGAGGGAAGAGTAGAGATTAGAGAGAAGTGATGTGAGCCTGCAGTGTGGCGAGTGAGTGGATGAGTGAATTGATGGGTGTGTTGTTGTGGTGGTGGTTGAACACGGTGGTGGTGGATGAGTGGAATGGATGGGTGTGTTGTTGTCGTGGTGGTTGAACACGGTGGTGGTGGATGAGTGAATGGTATGGGTGTGTTGTTGTCGTGGTGGTTGAACACGGTGGTGGTGGATGATGTGAATGGATGGGTGTGTTGTTGTGGTGGTTGAACACGGTGGTGGTGGATGAGTGGATGGGTGTGTTGTTGTGGTGGTTGAACACGGTGGTGGTGGATGAGTGAATGGATGGGTGTGTTGTTGTCGTGGTGGTTGAACACGGTGGTGGTGGATGAGTGGATGGGTGTGTTGTTGTCGTGGTGGTTGAACACGGTGGTGGTGGATGAGTGAATGGATGGGTGTGTTGTTGTCGTGGTGGTTTGAACATGGTGGTGGTGGATGAGTGAATGGATGGGTGTGTTTGTTGTCGGGTGGTTGAACACGGTGGTGGTGGATGAGTGAGTGGATGGGTGTGTTGTTGTCGTGGTGGTTGAACACGGTGGTGGTGGATGAGTGAGTGGATGGGTGTGTTGTTGTCGTGGTGGTTGAACACGGTGGTGGTGGATGAGTGAGTGGATGGTGTGTTGTTGTCGTGGTGGTTGAACACGGTGGTGGTGGATGGGTGAATGGATGGGTGTGTTGTTGTCGTGGTGGTTGAACACGGTGGTGTGGATGGTGAATAGATGGGTGTGTTGTTGTGGTGGTTGAACAGTGGTGGTGGATGAGTGGATGGGTGTGTTGTTGTCGTGGTGGTTGAACACGGTGGTGGTGGATGAGACGAAACGGTGTCTGGTATCGACCGAGTCCTCGCCGTGGCAGGATGAATCGATGGGCTATGGCTGTGGGCGGGACAGCGTCTCCTCTTCACGTGAACCACGTTTGTTCTAGCCACTGCTGGATGGATGAACGAGGGCCTTGCACAGAGCCTGTGGGTTACTTGGCCACACTTGACGATTGGATTGGGGGAATGGTGGGAGACGGGGGGGGGGGGGGACACAGATTATGTACAGCGGCTATGCTCGCTGCCTTCTGCCGCCACCACGGAGTCTCTCGCAGCAACGCGTCTCTCCGACCGTGCCCGTCACAGGTGATCGGCGCAAACGAGGTGGCGGTGCCGACCCACCTGTACAAGGTCATCGTGGCTCAGGGTACGACCGGCGGCGATGGCGGCGCTGACCGTGGTACCGAAGATATTGGCGGCGCCGAAGACGGCGGTGGCACCACCCGCGGAGGGCGCCACCGCGGAGGGCGCGGTGCTAGCGGCGTTCGTGATCCCCAACGCGCCGGTGCCGCAGGGGACGCCGCTCGGCTCCTTCCAAGGTGCAGCTGGAGCAGCTGGAGCGCTGGGCCGGCGTCACCTTCTTCCCGCGGCTCGACCGCCAATCTTGCCGGGACCTGTGCCGCGTGGAGTCGTGCGGCGCCGGTGCCGGCACGAAGGCCGAGATGCAAGCGGGGCCGGCGAGCGTGGGAGGTGGTGCACGCTATGGGGCGTAGCGGGTGGGGTGGACAGGTACGGGGAGCGCCGCCGGGCCGAGACCACGGACCCGCGGAGCTGTAGAACCCAGCTGAATCCCAAACCAGCGTGTGCGACATCACGGGACCTCCTTTGCCAGTATTAGATTATGATAATAGGTTTTTCACTTTTCTGGCAATACTAAAAGAGGTGTGAAGATGTTAAAACACCAAACTGAAACCTTTGCAAGGAATCATGTCTGCATTAAGCACACATACTTGTGGTGAACATGCAAACAAAAAAACATGCTCTGACAGTCTATGGTGCATTGTCTTTGAAACTGATTGGTCCACATCAGAGACGGCTTTCTTTAGAGCCTCGTCTCACTAACAGTGTTAGACCAGAGGATGCCACAAGGCGACCAGCACAAGGACAACGCACTATCAGGACATGGAGAGCTCTATCATGGGACCTCCTTTGCCAGTATTAAATAATGATAATCGGATTTGAAGCTTTCGTTCTTTAGTTTTTTCGGTAAAGTCACGTAGGTAAAAAATAAAATAAATGAAAATAACTAAATTAAATCACCGATTTAATTGAGTTTTCATTTATTTTATTAGATTTTTTACCTACGTGACTTTACCGAATAAAACCAATGAGAATGATAATCGGGTTTTCCCTTTTTTGGCAATAAAACAGTTGTGTTAAGATGGCGTCCTCTGGCCTAACACTGTTAGTGAGACTAGGCTCGAAAGAAAGCTGTCTCTGGTGTAGACCAATTAGCTTCAAAGACAATGCAAAAACTCGTTGGTTCTTTCGGTAAAGTCACGTAGAAAGAGAAAATAATAAATTAAATAATACCACACGACGTTTCGATTGCAACACAAGCAATCATCATCAGGTACAAATGAAAGAGAAAACAAACCTAGTAAACTTAGAAATATAATTCAATACAACACAGATAGTCGGTTAACATAACAGTCAACACCCTACCTGGTTGATTACGTTCTTCCAAAGATTGCTAAATTTAAGAGAGATAAAACACAAAGTTTTTACAATGCACATACTGTCAGAGCATTTTTTTCAACGGTTTTATTCAACGGGTTTACTTGACTCCTATGTGTGTCGTGGTCAAATCTTGTAATCAAAAGTTAGTCTACTCCCTGTTGCCCAATCAATTCCACATTTTGCACACGTACTCAGATCCGGTGACAATGCATGCCTGGATCAAAATCGGAATCAATTAATCAATTGGCTCTTTTAAAGCAATTAACATTTTGTATGGACGGCTTATTAATTAAATATTTATTTGTCTAGGTCAAAAATGCCGTGGTTCCTAAACTCTGGAATCGCCTCGCCCAAGAAGCAGGCGCCACGTGTCCCTTGCCATCAAGACGTCAACAACTTCCCGTTGTCCAATCGAGTTATTTACGTATTAGTGCACTTTAAAATAAAACCGTTGTTTTTATGTCTACCACAAGTCTATGTGGTTAATGCAGAGATGATTCCTTGCAAAGGATTCAGTTTGGTGTTTTATTATTACTAGAAAAGGGAAAAGCCTATTATCAGCGTGTGCGAGTTTACAATGACTCTTAATGAGTCTGCTACGGAACGCTACGAATCTTATGTGGGTCTCTTCGTAGGTCTATGGGGTTCTATGGCACGAGGTGGACCCATCGTCACACGGTGGACACTTGAGAGATCAATTTAATCAGAAGCTGGTTTGTGGATGTCCGAGAGTCGATGGGTCCCTATGCCACGCGAGAGCCTATGGGTCTTCTATCGGAGTCTAGAGGGGCGGTCTGCTCATTACACCTGAGAACACGATGCACATCCGTGGTTGGCGCCGATTCTCAGCGGTGCCAGCTCCACGTCTCAGACCCGAGCCCCCAGGCCTCCTCTCTCTCCGTGAGCCACGCTTTAACCGCCACACGGCCATCTATGACGTGGCTATCGCACTGCGCTACCGACTCCCTGACCACCCAATGTAGCCCCTCCCTGCCATTTTCACCAATCCACACACCGAACAGAAATGGTGAAGTATGGTCAAACAACACCAACTCGACCGACATCACCCGAGTGGGGGGGGGGGGGGGGGTGAGAGTGGTGGCGGGGAAGGATGCCTTAATTCCAGTAGTGGATTTTACAAAAGGTCTGTAAATGATCGTCTTTTTTACTACTTGCCGAGTATTTATTTTACTTGTTTATTAATAACAGGGTTGCACTTCAGATGCCGTGAACGTCCGGCCTCATCCGGTGCTGCTGCTGCTCCAGTGGAGCTGTGGCGGCAAAGCCAACCAGCGCGGTCAGCCTTTGGATATACTGGGCTCCGTCGTAGCAACGTGGAATTACACCACTGGCTGTGGCCCACCAGTAGACACTGCACCCCACATTTGTGAGCACAGAGGGAGCCTTTGATGGGCTATTGTTGTTATTGTCGTTTTTGCCTCTTGGCAGGCAAGAGACCAGCATCACGAGGTCGGCCACAATAACCACAATTAAGAAATCACCCGGAGCGTACAAGCTAAGCAGGGCCCGAGCCTGGGAGAAGGGCGGTTGGGGGGGGATTGCTGTGGGCTGGCAGAGGCCAACGCAGCAAACAAATGCACTGCTACCACCACAAAGCACCAGCCAGCTCCGCTCTCGCTGTGTAACCGCTGCGAGCTCCGTACGCCGTCCCTAAACCAAGGGTGCCAATTCCCACATTGCCGTGGCGGGGGTGGCGGCCGACCTGCTTCGCCGTTAAGACACCATGGAATGCGCGCTGTTGACGTTTCACAAAGTGGTACTGGTTTTATTGACCGTGGAGAGATGATGGGTCACGACCGATCGGAAGGTTGAGCTTGGAAACGACCGTGATTTCAACTTCTAGTTTTGAATAAACGATCGGCGCCAATCTCTTCGCCCGCGAGGGTCTCACGCTGGCGCGGAAGGTGCGGAGGGCGAGTGGTGTGGCCGAGCACAGGCTCCCGAGTCACCCCCCTGGGGTCACTCCCGAGTCACCCCCGAACACTCATCGCTCCACCACACTCAGACCGATCGCTCCACCACACTCACCCGATCCCACTCCTCGTCCACATGATCGATCATTCCTCTTCCCTGCTCTGTCACTCCCCACCACTACTCTACACTCTAGAGTCACTACTTCCACACTGCTCACCCCCTCCTCCCGATCACTCCCCCCTCCCACCCCCCACAATCTCCATCAGCGCACACCCTTGTCACCATCACTCCTCCACACTGTGCGTCGTCACACCACCCTCCCCCACTGTGGAGTCTGCCCCCTTGGGGTCCTCACGGGGCGCGGGGTCCGTAGGCGTCTGTGGCGCTGCCTGCGTTGGGTCTTCGGGCACTGACGCGGACGCCTCCTCGCCGCCCTCTCCGTTTCCTTTACTCGCCCCTGCGCACATCGTCACGCACGCACGCAACGCGCGTCACCACACAACAACACGTCACCCAATACTGCCATTTGCCACTAAGTGACGGTACCGTCACCACGGCGCCGGTGCTGTCACCACGGCGCCTGTACCAGGCCAGGTGGACTTAGAGG